GCTGTGGCCGGAGCACCGGGTGCCCCCAGTCCTTAGGCGGGTGGTTTGCGGAACACACTCCAGGCGTGGAAGCAGCGGGTGAAGGGCCAGGGCTCGTTGCCTTTCCGCACCAGCCGGAGCTTGCGGGGCCGTGTGGGGTCCTTGGAGCGCATGTGCTGGATGTAGACCTGGGGCAGAGCACAGCCGTGGGGGTCCCAGCCCTCACCCACTGCCAGGGCTGGCATTCCCTAGCCCAGGAGTTGTGCACCACCCTGACCAGGGCCTCGAGGGGAGATGGAAGTGCCCAAATCTTCCCTCCCACGGCCCCAAGCTGGAGAAGGAGGGAGGCCTTACCTGGCATGCCTTGAGGCTCAGCTTGATCTCCACCTGGCTGGTCTGGGTGCCCACCCACATGTAGACCTGCGGGAAGGACCAGCAGCCGGGCTCAGCACATGGAGTCGCTGGAAGATCCAAACCCAGGAGAGCCTCCTGCCCCCAGCTCACCTCTCGCCCGTTGTCCAGCAGCATGATGTCATCATCAGCCAGATCATCCTGGCAGAAATCCGAGCACTTTTCCGACACGGAGAAATAACCCTTCTCATTGGAGCACCTGTGGGGAGAGCCAGAAGGGAACAGCATCAGGCATGAGTTTGCTAGGACTCAGCTCCTGCAGAGGGAATGGACGTGATGGAACAGTTCTGTTTTGGTTTGTTGATTCCCAAGGAAAGGACAGAACTGGGAGAGGAGGAGCCTGGGCTCTGTGGGACGAAGGGAACCAACAGATTGCAGCAGCCCTCCCTGGGCCAGCACCCACCTGAAGAGCCGGGAGTGCTTCATGTAGTCGGCATCTTCATCGTAGGGCTTCTGGCTCCCGATGCCCACCCAGAAGAAGTTTTCGGGTTCTTCTCCCTCGTTGATGACCTGTGAGAGCAGGGACAGGGCTCAGCGTGGCCTGGGTGGTTCCTGTCACTCAGGTAAGCTGGTGCTCAGCCCCACTCACCTGTTTGCTGTAGGAGTCATCAAACATGTGGTTCATGATGTCCTCGGCCAGCTTGGCCTCGTCAGGGTCGGCCGCCCGGCCCACCCACGTGTAGACGATGCCCTGGTTGTCTGTGCTCTCAAAGGGCACCTGGGGAGCACAGAGTCAGGGCTGCCCAGGGGGGCAGGAGGGCACCCAGGCACCCCTGAGGATGCTCAGCCCTGAGCAGTACCTTGAGGATGAAGCAGAACTCGGAGTTGAGCAGACCAGCATCCGTGTTGATCTGGATGCACCTAGAGAAGGAGCCCCCGAGGCACAAATCAGCAGGAGACCCGGCAGCTGTGCCCACCGGTGGGTATCCCACCTGGACCCTGGAACGTGTGGGTGCTGCCTGGCCTGGAGCAGCCCCTGGAGCACTGACCTGGTGCAGAGGGCCCCGCCGTTGGTGCGGATGTGGTAGAGGCTGGGCTGGGGAGGGCTGGCCCGCTCCTTCCGCTTGCCCCGGTGGATCACAAACCTCCTCTTGAAGTGAGAGAGGAACTTGGGGTTCTCCTGCTGCTGGGTCATACGCACCACCTGGACAGGGGTGGGTGTCAGCAGGGCCATGGGGACTCCCCAAACGCAACCCCAAGCTCTAGCTGCACCCCCTGCCAGCCCCCATCTCTTCTGCTGTCCCCTGCCCTCAGCCTTGGAAGCAGAGAGGGGTACCCATGTCACCCGAGAAGCTGCGTCACCTCCAGCTTGCCAGGGAAGAGACTCTCAAACTTCTTCTGGAGGCTGAAGGTGAAGGTGAGCCAGCCCATGTTGGAGGCCTCCCGGCCCTGCCAGAAGTAGACGATGCACTGGAAGTCTTCCTCAGGCTGCTTTTCCTCCTCCTCTTCCTCACCCTCCTCCTCTCCTTTGCCTTCACCCTTCTTCTTCTTCTCCTCATCCTCCTCGTACTCCACTGGCACCCAGTACCTGAGGGCCGGAACAGGGAGTGTTGTGAGGGATGGGGCAGGCTGGGGGCCTGGGCAGGGAGGTGGGGAACAAAGTGGTCCAACATCCCCAGAGTGGGCACAAGCTGGGTGTCACCTGCACAGGAAGACGTAGCAGTCGTGGGTATGGAAGTGGCCGAACTCCTCCTCGGGCAGGCGAGCGAATTTCTTGCCCTCCAGCACGAAGCCCTCCATGCCATCCAGGTCCTCGTTCCACTCCTCCATCAGCTGCTCTGCCTGTGACCCCACGTGCTCCATCAGACCCCTAGCCCCTCCAAGAGCACCTGGCCCACGCCAGGGGGGGACTCATAGGAGCCCCTAGCCCTACCTCGCTGAGGGGCATGGGGGGCTGCCGGGGCAGGAAGAGTGCCGTGAGGTCGGCCTTCATCTGGTCCTTCTTCTCGGCGTCCTTCCGGACCTTGCCGGCCAAGCCACCATCCTGCAGCACCGTCTCGGCATTCCGGGTGTAATCCACACGCAGGACGTCATCCCAGTTCTTGAACTTGGACTTGAACACCTAAATCACAGAATCATTAAGGTTGGAAAAGACCTCCAATATCACTGAATCCGACCTCTGACCGATCACCACCTCGTAACTAGGACAGAGCACGGAGTGCCACGTCCCGTCGTTTCTGGAACACCTCCAGACGTTCAAGGTGTAAACTGGGGAGCAGATAACACACCCTGGGCCACAGCACCCTCCCTGGCACCCAAGCACCCCATCCAAGGGGTCTGTGTCCTACCTGGCACTCGGTGCCCTCGAGGTTCCTGGTGACCATGGCGTGCTTGGGCCGGTGCAACATGGTGCACAGCTCCTGGCTCAGCTTCAGCGCCGCCGCCCGCACCAGCCGCGACGACTTCCTCCCGATCCAGATGAAGACATCGGACCAGCAGTCCAGGATGTACACGCTCTTGGTGTCCAGCAGGCTCTGCAGCTGAGGGCATCCCAGGGAAGAGAGGGTCAGGCATTCCCAGCTGGAAAACACCCTGCCTGCTCCCAACAGCGGGGAAGAGCAGAGCATCCCCTAGCCGGGCGCTGCTGGCCGAACCTGCCTCTCCCAGGGCACAGCTGGAGGCAGAGGGGGCATGAAACCAGTTTCACTGGTCAGACTGGGAGAACCTCCCCGCCCCATCCTACCAGGCGCATCTCTGGCATCAGATCAGCCTTCAGCCTCTTCTTGTGCTCCACCGAGAGCCTGTAATTGATCTGGGGCAGCTCCAGGTAGCCCAGACCGAGGCCGACCTGCGGAGGGGACGGGGACACAGGTGAGGGGGGGCTGCAGGACCCCAGCAGTGCCCACAGCCCAACGGATACAGCTCCCCACCTTGTACAGCTTGGGCTTGTGGGGCTGGAAGTCATCAGGGACACAGGGCCGGATCTCCTCAGGCTGCCCCCCCAGTGCTTCCCAGAACTCGGGGGTCTCCTGGCCCTGGGTGAGCAGCGTGATCTCGGCCTTGCCCTTCCGCTCGTTCTTGTTGATCTTCTCGGCGAAGAGCCTGTGGCAAGAGCAGGTGAGATGGCAGCTGGGCTCCCCACACCCCCAGCCCCCTCACCAGCCCTACCTGGCCTTAGTGGTGCTGCTCAGCGTGGCCTGTCTCCCACGCCACACCATGAGGTCGAGGCCGTGGTCCAGGAGGAAGACAAACCTGGTGGAGACAGGTGAGAAGAGTTAGGAGAGAGTGGGGTGCACCAAGTGTCCCCCTCTCCCCGGGGGTCCCTGCAGGGCATCACATCTGCCAAGTGGGGTTTGGACCCACATCACTGTAGGAAGGTGCTGGAATGGCCCATTTTCACCCCAGAGCTGCAGCTACACTGTCTCAGGTGGACCCTGCTGCACTTTCTGCAGGGACCTGGTGTCCCCTGGCCACTCACCGGGGGTCCAGTGATGTCCCTTTCAGTGCCACTGGCTCCAGCTTGACATTCTTCTTCCCATAGACACGGTACAGCCTGGGGGAGGGACAGCCATGGTGGGACATGGGGCACTGCCTGCCCCACACATCCCCTGTCCCCAGCAGTACCTGGTGACATATTGTGTGTCCTCAACGGTGAAGAAGCCGCTGGCTGTGCCACCCTCGATGTAGGAGATGTCGTTGTCAAAGACCTGGGGGCAAGGAGGGGGTGAGGGTGGGAGAGGAGGGGCTGGGGGCTACAGGGGAGCCAGGGGCTGGCCTCACATGGAGGAACTCTTCGCTCTCGTCCCCCATCTCCTCCCGGATGCACCGGCACTCGGCCCCCAGGTAGTTGCGGAGGTTGACGGCGTGGATGGCGGAACAGGCCT